TTTTTACGTCAGTTATTTTTTTACAATATAATTTCCATTGGCTCATTGCCACAATATTAAGATCTCTTTCCACAGTTGTTTGTGCTATAATTGCATTAATGTGTACAGCCCAACTGGCATCTTCAAAATGATCTACAACAGAGCTGAAGTTGGCTGAATGACTAATGTTTACAATACGATACCACGTCAGTACAGTACACACACAGTCATTGTGTTTTTACGTATGTCTTACGTATGTCTTTCCGGTATCTTTCACTCTTGTGTCCGAAATAACTGTTTTGAATTGAATTGAACAGATAAAATCAACGACTGAATTACAGATGTACTGGGCTTTAGAATGCGTTACGGGGAATTTACACAGTAGGCGTAAACAGCGCGTACGCGTTTACTGCGCGCTCTCTGCGCGTAACATTTTTTTGGAGTATCTACACAGGCCGTGCGCGCAGGTCCGCGTCTTCTGATGCTCTCCCTGTGTAGTCTATGGAGCAGTGTAGAGGACAGTACGGGCCAGAGGACTGATGTAGAGCAACACAAATCACATGCATGTGTTTGTCCTCATGGTCTCTGTGCGCTGGTTTGGCCAGACGCGAGACTTTATGAAAGAAAAAAAACGATGTCCAGAATCACTGTAAAACCTGCTGCTCCTCCTGCTGATGTTTAGACACAAGTGCTGTGTGTGTGCAGATGCGATCTAGAGCCAAGGACCGCTAGAAAAATCATGTTTTACATGAGATTTCAATGGGAGACGCGTTGGTGCGCGCACAAAATTAGAAATCCATCCTAAATTAGAGCGCAGCTTCGCGTCATACGTCCGTCATACGCGCGTATAACGCTAGAAGTGTAAATATCATCATAGGTTAACATGGAAAAAAGTTCCGCGCGTCTGCTGCGCGTATAACACGTACGTGCTGTAACGCGTGATGTGTAAATTAGCAGTTACGACTTGTCTATATTGGCTGAGCTGAAGTTGGATGGATGACACAGTGAACTACTTTGGGTTAGCAAGGCCGCGATTGTCCCACAGGCCAGAGTTTGGACATGCCTCCCTTAGATCCTCCTGCATCGACAAGGACTGACAAAAAAGTGAAAAAAGTGAGAAACCTTGGCGGGGGGATGGACAGGCTATAGACCCAGGACTCAGGCCGTACGACTACTGTGTCACTTTTCTAACAATATTGGGAAGAGACTCGGAGTTCAGCCAAAATTAAGAGACATCCTTCCCATGGCGCAATGTTTTCCCCCCCTCGGTAAATTGCGCGTTTGGATTTTAGTGCTGGTTCATGTGGGCGGGTTGTTTGATGGAATATGCATGTGTAATCCTCACCAGCTGTTCTGTTTACATGGAGCTCTAATCTCCTTAAGATCCCGTACTTCTCACAAAGAAAACAGATACAGGAAAAAGAGACCTTTATAGAAATAATGATAACGGAAGGTTTCAAGAACTAGTTACTTGCGTTTGGGAATAAAAGTGCTGCTTTGAATTTCACTTCCACCGTTCCCTCCCCCCGACTACAAAAGCTGGCACACTTTTCGCTGCTGGCTTCACGGCACTTTAACGATTCATGCTTCTTCTTCTTCTTGTGCCGACAGTTTTATTATTAAAAGTAGTGAAAGTTTGGGGATGTTCCTATGCCACGGCTGCTGGGATGTTGTTATTATTCCACGTATGGGAATCTGTGTGAGGTTTATTTTTTTTTTGCAGCTCCCGTGACTCTACTATTGAGCCTGCTGTGAGAAGACTGTATAATCAGTGGGGAGGAAAGTTATTAATTTTCTTACATGGCACTTTAGGTGCATAGAGGGTATGTACATGGACAGTGGTAAACCTTTAGCTTAGCGCAAAACAAAGCCCGATAAAGAAGTGCTCGTGAATTGTGTATGTGCAGATATTAGAGCTATAAGGACGGACCAATCAGAGGCCTTCGTTTGTGGGGGAAACTCCAGCTCCACCTCTGCCTGTGTTACACAGAGCTAACCCATACCCATGGGTACCTATATACCCATATAAGGAAATTGGCTCCAGCTAGCTTATGTTCAAATCGCATTCTCCAAATACTAGCCATTTACCTTGGACAATATCTGAACTCTGAACATTGTAAAGCACTTTGGGTGACTTTGGTCGGTAAAAATGCGCTATATAAATAAAGATGACTTATTTCCTTTTTATGACTGAAATATTTATTGTATTTCTACTTACTTACTTCTAATATACCATCTATGAGTATGCTTCCCTACATGATTTTTCGCTTTAATCATATTTTGTATGAACTTTAATCTCAAAATTTGAATATCTGAAATTTTGGGCTGAAATAAAACAGACTGAATCACGACCAATTGATTATTAAACTAGTTGTCAACTAATTTGGTTCAATATTTTTTGAGCCTTAAATACATGCTGAAAATCCTACATAGAAGGATTGGCCAACGGATCAATTATCAAAATAATAGTTAATTATAGCCACAATTGTATAATTTTTCTCTCTCTCTGGTCTCTCTGTGGTCATCTGTGGTCTCTCTCTCTGGTCCTTCTCTGGTCTCTCTGATCCTTCTCTGGTCTCTCTGTGGTCTCTCTCTCTGGTCTCTCTGTGGTCTCTCTCTCTGGTCTCTCTGTGGTCATCTGTGGTCTCTCTCTCTGGTCCTTCTCTGGTCTCTCTCTGATACTTCTCTGGTCTCTCTGTGGTCTCTCTCTGGTCTGTCTGTGATCTATCTGGTCTCTCTCTGGTCTCTGTGGTCTCTCTCTCTCTGGTCTCTCAGTGGTCTCACTCTGGTCTCTCTGGTCTCTCTCTGGTCTCTCTGTGGTCTCTCTCTGGTCTCTGTGGTCTCTCTCTGGTCTCTGTGGTCTCTCTCTGGTCTCTGTGGTCTCTCTCTGGTCTCTCAGTGGTCTCTCTCTCTCTGGTCTCTCAGTGGTCTCTCTCTGGTCTCTCTGGTCTCTCTCTGGTCTATCTGTGGTCTCTCTCTCTCTGGTCTCTCAGTGGTCTCTCTCTGGTCTCTGTGGTCTCTCTCTCTCTGGTCTCTCAGTGGTCTCTCTCTGGTCTCTCTTGTCTCTCTCTGGTCTCTCTCTGGTCTCTCTGGTCTCTCTCTGGTCTCTCTCTGGTCTCTCTGTGGTCTCTCTCTCTCTGGTCTCTCAGTGGTCTCTCTCTCTCTGGTCTCTCAGTGGTCTCTCTCTGGTCTCTCTGGTCTCTCTCTGGTCTCTCTGTGGTCTCTCTCTCTCTGGTCTCTCAGTGGTCTCTCTCTGGTCTCTGTGGTCTCTCTCTCTCTGGTCTCTCAGTGGTCTCTCTCTCTCTGGTCTCTCAGTGGTCTCTCTCTGGTCTCTCAGTGGTCTCTCTCTGGTCTCTCTGGTCTCTCTCTGGTCTCTCTGTGGTCTCTCTCTCTCTGGTCTCTCAGTGGTCTCTCTCTGGTCTCTCTGTGGTCTCTTTCTCTGATTTTAGTATATCTCTAGATCTCTTGGTCACATGGTCCAGCTGCTACAATAGACACAGCAATGAAACAAACCCGCGACCCCCTGTGCGAGCCGCTTCATTTGCCTTTCCCTCCATGGGGGGTCACTCTCAAGACCCCCAAGACTCAACCCTCCAGGCGAGTGCGCAGTCGTGGAACCTTCCTGCTGCGTTGCCTGATGTTGGAGCAGCGTTTCTAAAAACACATTTTTTTCGACTGGCTTGTGTCTGATTGGCGTATCTTGGCTTCTATAACTTGTGTCTGTTTCACATCAAATTTATGAAAAGACTCTAAAGCCTAAAGGGTCACGATGAAAGTATAGGGGCAGAGGCTCAAGTGAAGTACAGATGCAATTTACAAAAGCTATAGACTAGAGAGAGACCAGAGAAAGAGAGACCAAGAGAGACCAGAGAGAAAGACCAGAGAGAGAGACCAGAGTGAGAGACCAGAAAGAGAGACCATAGAGAGAGACCATGAGAGAGAGAGACCATGAGAGAGAGACCATGAGAGAGAGACCATGAGAGAGAGACCAGAGAGAGACCAGAGAGGGACCAGAGAGAAAGACAAGAGAGAGAGACCAGAGAGAGAGACCAGAGAGAGACCAGAAAGAGAGACCAGAGAGAGAGACCATGAGAGAGAGAGACCATGAGAGAGAGACCATGAGAGAGAGACCAGAGAGAGACCAGAGAGGGACCAGAGAGAAAGACAAGAGAGAGAGACCAGAGAGAGAGACCAGAGAGAGAGACCAGAGAGAGAGACCAGAAAGAGAGACCAGAGAGAGAGACCATGAGAGAGAGAGACCATGAGAGAGAGACCATGAGCGAGAGACCAGAGAGAGACCAGAGAGGGACCAGAGAGAAAGACAAGAGAGAGAGACCAGAGAGAGAGACCAGAGAGAGAGACCAGAGAGAGAGACCATGAGAGAGAGACCAGAGAGAGACCAGAGAGGGACCAGAGAGAAAGACAAGAGAGAGAGACCACAGAGAGAGACCAGAGAGAGAGACCAGAGAGAGAGACCAGAGAGAGAGACCATGAGAGAGAGACCAGAGACAGACTTGAGACGGACCGGAGAGCGAGACCACAGAGAGACCAGGGAGCGAGACCACAGAGAGAGACCAGAGAGAGACCAGAGAGAGAGACCCCAGAGAGACAAGAGATGGACCAGAGAGAGGCCAACGGGTTCAAAGAATCTGAAATAGGTAGCGTCTTACAGTCCGGCAATATATATACTCAGACATCTGTGTTTCCTTCACATTGATTCCTGCCCACACGTGTCCCAAGAGCTTCTGACCTGCTGCTGCTAAGAGCCAGCGAGTCCCGTTTCTCCTTATTCAGACTATAAATATAGTTGCCATTGTGATATAATCCCATAATCTCCTGCTGTAGGGTTACTGCAGAAGTAACCGCAAACGTATCTGAACATATGATTACTGAATGTGTGTATTCATTCATTTTTACTACATGCTTACGACTTCTACATTATGGACCATTGTTACTTTTTTTTGTTTTGGATAAATGTTTGAATTCTATAATGTATAAAGGGTCTACCGCACAGTACTTACAGTTATGGCCTCCAGCGTTGCTAATCTTGAAAGCAGAAATGTCGCTCAGCAGAAGTTGAAAGTCAAAGGAAGCCAGCAATGGTCTAAACCTCGATTCATGCTCGTGGAGCCTGGAGAACATAAAACACATACACGTATAATATCCATCTCGTCATCGATAACAATTTATTCGGTTATCAAGGACTTTGTCGACTGGTGTGAGTGCAACCACTTGTGCTTGAACACCAGTAAGACCAAGGAGATGATCATCGACTTCAGGAGAAAACCACTTTCCCACACGCTGCTGAACATCCAGGGGGAGGACATTGAGCTGGTGGACAGCTTCAAGTACCTGGGTGTTCACATTAACAATAAACTGGACTGGTCCCATAATACAAACGCCCTGCACAAGAAGGGCCAAAGTCGCCTCTTCCTTCTGAGGAGGCTGAGGTCCTTCGGAGTGAGCAGGCTGCTCAGGACTTTTTATGACTCTGTGGTAGCTTCTGCCATTTACTACGCTGCCGTGTGCTGGGCCCCGGGCAGCACAGAGCGGGACAGAAACAGACTGAACAAGCTGGTCAGGAGGGCCAGCTCCACTCTGGGCTGCTCCCTGGACTCTGTGGAGGAGGTGAGGGACAGGAGGGTGCTAGCCAAAGCCACCTCCATCATGAACAATACCTCCCACCCACTGCACAGGACTGTAGAGGAGCTGAGGAGCTCCTTCAGTGGAAGACTGAGGCACCCTCAGTGTAGGAAGGAGCGCTACCGCAGGGCCTTTATCCCCACCGCTGTCAGACTGTACAATAAGTCACTTTAAATGATCACTGTGTGAAAACCTGCACTACTATTGACACTGTTTCCAATTGACACTTGTCACTTTTGTTGTACATAATTATTGTCACTTTTATTGTACATATATATCCTGCATGTAACATGTTTGCACATTTCCTCCCTTTGCACAATCTGAGTGTCTCTCCTATGTGAGATAAATAAAGCTTATCTTATCTTATGAAGCGAGATTAGGCGTCGTCCCACCGTGGGGAAATTGTTGCATCACCACAGAACAGTAACTTTAGCATAATGAAAGGCAAGGCAAGTTTATTGCAAGTTTAAATACTGTACATTCTAGAGCAGTGGTCTCCAACCTATAGCTCGGGAAGCACCAGTAGCTCGCCAAGCCTTTTCAGGTATCTCCCCAAAGGATTAAGTTGTTTGACACATGATCCTACAGTTATATTTTCAGGCATTGCATATCTACTTTGATTTTGCTTGCTATCTAAGAAACATAAAAGCTACCTATATTGTATATTTTGTGTGCTCCTTGTGTCCTCTTACTATTGTCCTACATGTGCAACAGTGAAATTTCCCCAGTGTGGGAAGAATAAAGGAACTCTTATCTTATCTTTCATTACAGTTACATTAGGTATACAATTTACCTAACATGAAAATTAGTTTTGTTTTAAATCAATTTTACTCGGACAAAACCATCTTACCTGAGTTTTGCCCATGATTTTCCGAAGTTATTTCTTCTATAAATTACAATTTTATAACAACCTCAGAAAAAAGTAGTGCTCGGCCCCTGTCCTAGAGCGATACAGTTGTATTTGTCACGCCTCTGTCTGTGACTCTGCTCCCTGCTCTCCTGCCCCTCCCTTCCCTCTGTGTGAGGCCTGCTGTACACACCTGGAGGCAATGATCTGCAGACTACAAGAACTCTACAGCCTGTTGGTGCCAGATTGTTTCGTCTGCTGCGTGGTGAATACTCACGTTTGCGCTACCTGCTGTGCTGTTTTTGATTTTTTTGCACTTATCTTGTTTTTTTATCTTTGGCAGTTCCTGGGTTCCTGTTTGGTTTTTTGTCTGCCACTTCAAGTTTGCCTCTGGTTTTTCCAGCTTTGCCTCCCACTCCCAAATAAATGTGTTATTTTAAATGTTTCGCTTGAGTCACTTTTTGGGTCCCCCTTTTGTGCCGTAACAGTATGTACACATCTTTGACTTATACTTAGACAGACTGTATTGATCCACAAGGGAACTTGCGTTGTCACATTAACTGCATAGTACACAATATTAATAAAACATTAAAAGTAATAATAAGATAAAATTGTGAGAATAGAATAATCTGGATAGGTACTCGGGGGATATATATGTGTGAATCTGTACACGCTAGCAGCATGAGGGTCTGGAACAAAGTGACTAAAAGTATAGGTCGGCAGTGGACACACGGAGTAGCCGCTTGGTTCGAACCATTTTATCTGCTCTGATCCACTTGGTTCAGACCATGAATCCTCTCCGCTCCGGTCTGGACCAGTGCAAAACCATGAACACTGTACTACACCAACATCTCAGGTAGAAAAAAGCAATAAAAATTAGAATTCAAAAGCACAAAACAACATGTGGTTCTATATTGCACATTTTGACAGTATTATTGCACAGATGAGCAAAGTAAAGTGACTATAAGGGCTTTGTACATGTAAGAAACAGCTTTACCCACATGCTTCCTTCATGACTTGTCCGTTGCACACGTCTGCTTGGTGCTGACTCAGACAAACCGACCGGGTCTTGATCATTGCCCTCCTCCACTCTCTCTGCTGTGGCTTTGACCGTCTGACATCTGCCTGTTGTGCTGCAGGTAACACACTACACTCTGACAGCCGCTGTGTCAGCTCCACTGCGCTCAGCTTGTGTTTGGAAATGTCTCCTTACTATCGAGTTAATGTCCCTAAGGCCGCCCGCCCGAGTGTGAAGGGACAGACACACCAGCTACAGGTTAGCGCTTCACCTTTTTGTGCAATAGAGCGGACAAGTTAGATTCACGTGTGGATGAATTTGCACTTTTACTACACTTGCTAACTCAGTAAATTAATGTTGACCGATGCAATGTCACCATCAGCAAATCAATTCAATAATTTGGTTTTTATTTCCAATTGACCGAAGTGAGAATGATGAAAACTGCCAACCTAATGTCATGCAATAATGTGCAATAATATCAAAATGTGCAATAGGGGACCACATGCGTTCACTGTCACTTTATCACTCGGAAAACGCATAATAAAATTTGCTGACACTTACTATAGACCTCATGAATAATTTTCTGGTAAAAACCTTGATATACTTTTCTCTTGTCTACCTACATTTTATGACGCATAATGAAAACAAATAACACATAGAGAAAACAAACAATGCGTTTCTTGACTTTGGCCTCATGGCTTCATTGATCACTTTTTCAGACAGCGGTGTCTGTCGGACTTTACTTATTGAAGGTAAACCGCAGCTTGCTACTTGTAGAATTTGCCGCCTCGCTTTGGTATAAGCAAGTGCACCTATATGAGCTCTCTGCACAAGCAAAGAAGAAACCAATCACAGCACAGAGATGAGCGGGTCACGTGCAGAAGCGAGGAGGAGGTGCAGTGGCACTTGTATATTGTAAATAGTAACTGTAACTCTATTTTAAGTTTAAATTTATTCTTTAGAAGTGTTTTTTATTCTTCTTTTTATTATCTCTTTCGGACTGTTGCACTGAGCCAAAGCAATTTCGAAGTCTATGACCTCCTGTTACTTACGTGGCAATAAAAATGTTTCTGATTCTGATTCTGATGAATAAATACATGAAAATTAATCGTAATCAGTAGCAATAATGAGATAGTATTGGATAGATAGATACATGGATACAAAGATAGATAGATAGATACATAGATACTTTATTGATCAAGGAGAAATTCAGGTGTCCAGTAGCAGAAGACACAGATCTAGGATTACACATTGATTCAAACCTCAGCTTCAAAACACACATCCAAAACACTAGCAATAAGATTAAATTCTGTTTATCAAATTTTAGGTTCATTAGAGACTGTTTGTCAAATGAAGCTGCCAAAATATACTTCTTTTCCATGGTCCTCTCACATATCACATACTGTATCATAAGTTGGTCAAACGCACACGCCACAACAATCAAACCCATGAAATCATTATATAAACAAGCGCTTAAAACATTGGATAAAAAACCCTACAGATATCACCATTGTCAGGTTTTACAGAAATATAAGTTACTAAATTGGGACAATCTTATAAAATTCAAAAACATTTGTTTAATGTATAAAATTAAAACTGGCTGTGCTCCGCCTTCACTGAGCGAGTTTGTAAACTTCAGATCGAGTGCAGCCAGAGTAACTCGAGGGGCAGTGAGGGAAGACTGCGTCCTCCCCCTCAGAAAAACTGCATTTGGTCAGGCCGTGTTTTCTTATAAAGCCTCCCAGCAGTGGAACTCAGTGCCTGAAACAATTCGCGAGTCTTCCTCATTTAATTCATTTTTTAAAAAAGCCAAAAAGTGGCTCGTGGAGACACAGACTTGTGAGCACTAGTTATATTGAAAATGTATACTTTGCTCATTTCATGTACTATGTATGTATGCAATTATATTGTGTCTTGTAAATTGCTATGTGATTTTAATCTTGCTTTTTCAGGCTGGCTTTGACATCTGCCAAAGGGTCTACCGATGAAAATTAGCTTTTCTGCTAACTCGGGCATATTTACATTGTAAAATGTTGATTAATGTGCACTGTCCCTTTTCAAATAAATAAAATCTTAAAAAAAATCTTAAATCTTAATTATTATATGATTATAGATTTAAGCTATACCATATTTTCTTATCTTGTGTTTGTGTGCTCCTCATTCCTTCTGTTCTGTGACTTGTGATGCAACACTGACATTTCTCCACTGTGGGACCAAGAAAAGGATCTCTTACTCCCATTACAGGACAATAAATATTTAAAAGGTCTTTTAGTGCCCGGTTTCAGTCCTCTCTTCACGTATGCAGCACTTCATTAACAATGTGTGTGCGTGCGTGTCTGTGTTTGTGTGTACGCGCGTGTGTTTGTGTGTGACCGCATTTGTAGGTGTGTGTGAGTACCTGCGTGTGTGTGTCTGTAAGAGAGAGCATTTGTGTCTGTGTTTGAGTGCATCTGTGTGTGTGTGTGTGTGTGTGTGTGAGAGAGCATTTGTGTGTGTGTGGCTTGAGTGAGAGTGTGTGTGTGTGAGAGAGCATTTGTGTGTGTGTGTGTGTGGCTTGAGTAAGTGTGTGTGTGAGAGAGCATTTGTGTGTGAGAGTGCGTGTGTGGAATGAGTGCATTTCTGT